AGGAGGAGAATGAGTGTGAGGAGGACAAGGATGAGGATAAATAATATGAGGATTAGGAGGATGACCATGAGTAGGAAGAGGAGGCTGAGGATAACGATGATGAGTATGAGGAGCGGGAGGAGGATGACGATGAAAAAGAGATGAAGAGAAAGACGACGATGAGAATAGAAGCTCAGATGTGGAAGAAGATGAGGAGGAGAAAGAGGAGGAAAAAAAGGAGGAGGAGGAGGAGAAGGAAGAGGAGGGGGAGGAGGACGAGGAGGAGGAGGAGGAGGAGGAAGAGGAGGAAGAAGAAGAGGAGGAGGTGCAGGAAGGAGGAGGAAAGAAGAGGAGGAGGAAGAGGAGAAGGAGGAGGAGGAAAAGGAGGAGGAGGAGAAGGAGGTGCAGGAAGGAGAAGGAAAGAAGAGAAGGAGGAAGAGGAGGAGGAGGAAGAAGAGGAGGATGAGGAGGAGGAGGAGGAAGGAGGATGAGGGCGAGGATCATCAGAAGGGACGACGCACTCACCCCTTGTTGCTGCGCGGCCAACCGACAGAACTGACACGAAAGCTTTGTCAGCGCCACCTTCAGATGCTTGCCGATCTCCTCTGGCATGTTGGCAAAGAATGCGACGGGAAAGAACAGCGCCAGTCTACTGATGGCCGTTGCCACTCCCAGCACCTCACACTCAGCGATGTCCTCCCTAGAGCAGTGAGAGGTAACACAGGGTCACACCTAGCAGGTATAACACCTGCACAACTACTACTGCTGCTGCTGCTGCTGCTGCTGCTGCTGCTACTGCTACTGCTCCTGCTACTGCATGCCACTACCACTGCTACTGCTACTGCTACTGCATGCCACTACCGCTACCGCTGCCGCTGCCGCTGCCGCTGCCGCTGCCGCTGCCGCTGCCGCTACCGCTACTACTACTACTACTGCTACTACTACTACTACTACTACCACGTACCATACGGAACACTCCCCTCTGGAAATCAATGCTAAGTGATTTCCAATACAAAATGAACTTATTACGATAAAACAACTTATTAGACACAATCGGTAAACAAATTATGTGAGTCTTCATTTGCATATCAATAGCATATGATGCATTACATATTTGACTGATAAAAAGGGACTACATATAGTTTAAGTAGCGTTAAATTCACAATAATCATCGTAACATAAAACATGGTTCATACAGGAGGACTGAAAAATGTTTCAAGGACTTTTCAAGGACTTTTCAAGGATATTTTATCGGAAATTCAAGGACATTTTATCGGACATTTTATCGGAATTCATACACAGAATAAAACACACCTGGATTAATTTAATAATAACCCCATTCTTAATCACTGTCACCTCTAAAACTTACTTGGATCACATTAATAAACCCTTCTAAACACTGCCACTTCTACAACATACCTTGATTTACTGACTGATTTTACTGACTTACTGTAATTTGTGATCATCATTTAACTGTCTATCATGTTTATAGCTTTTTAAGCTCATTTAATGCAATTTTTTATTGAGGTTTGCACATTATTGATGGTACAAAATTTCTTTTTATTACAGGCAAGGATTCTTTCTAAAAATTCAAGAACATTTTCATGAAATTCAAGGACTTTTCAAGCAAAAAATCAACATTTACTAAATTCAAGTACTTTTCAAGGACTCCCCTCAAATTCAAGGACTTTTCAAGGACTGTGCGAACCATGTAAAAACAATCAGCAAGCTAATATCAGATCTAGTATGACCTTCACCAAATACAATCATTTTACATATAACATATAATTGTGCTCCACTGATTTTACAGCTACCACTCACCTGTATAACACCTGTACTCACCTGGATATGAGTAGAATGTAGCACTGCAGGTAGTTCTTCAGGTAGGCCACCTTCATCTCATCGTTGTTGAACACTGTTCCTCGAATCGACGCCAGCTGACAGAGACACTGCAGCGTGTGGTGGGCCAACTCTGGGTTCGAGCGCACCTTGTCATGAATCTACAGGTGGGACAACGACATTGTCATCATCATCATCATCGTCATCGTCATAATCAGTATTATCATCATCATCATCATCATCATCATAATCATTGTCATGTCATTATCATCATCATCATCATCATAATCATTGTCATTGTCATTATCATCATCATCATCAGTATTCTTATCATCATAATCATCACCACCACCACTGCCATCATCATAATCATCATCACCATCACCGCCATCATCATCATCGACACCATCGCCGTCGTCACTCACCCTAAAGAAGAACTGTACGATGGCTGGATCCATCAGTATATCTCTCCACGCGGGACCAGGCATCAGCGCGCACGACTGACTGTTCTCCATCACCAGCGCAAACCTGCCGGGCAGTGCGGTCATCGAGCGCGGTCAAGGAGCATAGCTGACCCGCGGCCACACACACCGAGGCCACAATTACAAAAAATCGTCGTTTGCCCTCAACCGACCCAGGCTGAAAAGTTTGGGTAGGTAGGGCGGCTTTTTTTTTAGGGCGGGGTCTTTTTGCAAATTCAGCTCCTACAATACAAATTTCCTCTACATGCTCGGGTGTGCTTGTGTGGAGATACCTTTTATGTTGGATGTTTGTTTTGCTTGGTACATATAATGTATTGCCTACAGATCTATATAATGTACAGTGATACAATTTGTTTAAAAAAAAAAAATCAATAAAATTTTTTGAGTCGGCCCTTTTTGGCGGGTCGGTCGCGTGAGGGCAAACAAACTATATTTTTATTATGACGCGACCCCACGCATCCGCCTGTTAGTAGTAATTATGTGAAATCACGTCCACATGCACACACGCACACACACACACAGCATCAAGGATATGATTGTAGGCGGTGAAACGCCAGCTGAGGACGTATGCACGCACACACACACTCACACACGCACGCACACACACGCACATGCACACGCACACGCACACGCACACACGCACATTATGATTATAAGCAGTATGACAAGGATATGATTGTAGGCGGTAAACCGCCAGCTGAGCACACACGCACGCACACACGCACGCACACACGCGCACGCGCACACACACACACACACACGCACACGCACACACACACACACACCACACACACACACACGCACACACGCACACACTATGATTATAAGCAGCATGACAAGGATATGATTGTAGGCGGTGAAACGCCAGCTGAGCACCTGCTCCGTGATCGCGAGGAACTTGTTGATGAGCACGACGACGTCACGCGAGGGAGCCACCGTCATGCTCTCCAGCTGCTGCAGGACCTGCACACACAGCTGGAAGACTCGCTTCAGATCACGCGTCTGCAAGATAGACAGAGCGACGCGGCGGCGGCGCGCGACGAACGTACAAACGCATTACTCGTCACGAAAACACTGTTTGTCTATAGATTATAATGTATGTATATATATATATATATTTATACATATTATATAAGTCGATATGACTGATATGTTTCCATGTTGTAAATTATAGCAAATTTTTATAAAGCACGTAATATGTGTGTGCGTGTGTGTGCGTGTGTGCGTGCGTGCGTGCGTGTGTGCGAGTGCGTGCATGGGTGTGTGCACGCGAGTGCGTGCATGGGTGCGTGTGTATGCGTGTGTGCGCGCGAGTGCGTGCATGGGTGCGTGTATATGCGTGTGTGCGTGTATGAGTGCGTGCATGGGTGCGTGTGTGTGAGTGTGCGTGCATGGGTGCGTGTGTATGCATGTGTGCGTGCATGGGTGCGTGTGTATGCGTGTGTGCGTGTATGAGTGCGTGCATGGGTGCGTGTGTATGCGTGTGTGTGTATGTGTGCGTGCGTGCGTGCGTGCGCGCGAGTGCGTGCATGGGTGCGTGTGTATGCGTGTGTGCGAGCGAGTGCGTGCATGGGTGTGTGTGTGCGTGTGTGCATGCGTGCGTGCGTGTGCGCGTACCTCGAACGTGCGCTTGGCGGTGAGATGGAACTCCCACGAGAGGCCGATGCTGCTGGAATGAGTCGTTGTTGAATACTCGTTCATCAGTGCCATGAGGATTGAGCAGCCAAGCGATTGCTGAAAGACACACACACACACAGACAGACGTTACTATGTGAACAACGCATGCACATACACGCACGCACGCACGCACGCACGCACGCACGCACGCACGCACGCACGTATACACACACGCACGCACGCATGACAGCACACACACACAGACACGCACACGCACGCACACACACAGACACGCTGGAGGTTTCCGGTGCCCATAAGACCCGTGACGGGACGTACCATTCTAGGGTTACCGGTGCCTATAAGACCCGTGACAGGACGTACCATACTGGGGTTGCCGGTGCCTATAAGACCCGTGACGGGACGTACCATTCTGGGGTTACCGGTGCCTATAAGACCGGTGACAGGACCTACCATGCTGGGGTTACCGGTGCCTATAAGACCTGTGACGTCGCTCATCAGTTGCTCATGGTCGGCGCCCTGCGTTGTCTGCAGCGAGCCGCGCTTAAAGATGACGGCAACGGCCTGTAGGACCTGCTCCCTCACATAGCCCTGCAGCCTGCAAGACATGAGACATTGTCATTGTCACCATTAGTGTGGCTGTCATTGTCACCTGCTCCCTCACATAGCCCTGCAGCCTGCAAGACATGAGACATTGTCATTGTCACCATTACTGCCATTGTCACATAGCTCTACAGCCTGCAAGACATGAGACATTGTCATTGTCACCATTAGTGTGGCTGTCATTGTCACCTGCTCCCTCACATAGCCCTGCAGCCTGCAAGACATGAGACATTGTCATTGTCACCATTACTGTCATTGACACATAGCTCTACAGCCTGCAAGACATGAGACATTGTCATTGTCACCATTACTGTCATTGACACATAGCTCTACAGCCTGCAAGACATGAGACATTGTCATTGTCACCATTACTGTCATTGTCATTGTCACCATTACTGTAGCTGTCATTGTCACCTGCTCCCTCACATAGCCCTGCAGCCTGAAAGACACGAGACATTGTCATTGTCACCATTACTGTCTTGGTCACCTTTCTTCCTCACATCATCATCATCATCATCATCATCACCATCGTCATCATAATTAACTTGCACCCCAGGCCGCCCCCCGCTGCCACCCTCCACCCCCGCGCATCTGACTTACTCGGGTCGCTGTGTGACGTACTGCAGCAGGTAGTTGCGCAATGATTTGACGTCGTCGTCTGCCAGCAGGCTCCACTCACGCACCACGGCCTCCTTAATGGCGCCCGCCGCTTGAAACATCACGTAGTCTAGCTTGCTGTTCTCTATACGCGAAAAAATAAATTACTATATATATAATAATTATACACGACCAGCTTGCTGTTTTCTAAAATGCAAAAATAAAGTATGTATTATTGCAACTATTTTCTGGCTCTATGCTGGTTCAGAGGGCTTTTCAACTACTGTGCTGCTCTGGTTCCAATAAAATTATAAGGTACAATATATCTATCTATCTATATATATATAATTTATAACATATAATGCCAGCAAGCAGCCCTAGCTCTGCCCTTTTGGGTCTCATCTTATCTCTTCTCTTGCTACTTTTCATCGTATGCCTAGCAATGTAAAAATAATCTCCCATACCACCTCCAGGGCGCAAAATCATTAGCACCGGCATATGCTGCCAAATTATTTGGAGGGCCAGTAATATTGGAAAAACACAAGCCCTCCGAGCCGGTGGTTTCAGTCGTGTTAGCAAGTACCTACATTTTTGTTTATGGCCTACATTATTTATAGCAAATAGCCTACATTACTGTTTTACCTGAAGGATATCACGCCATAACATCATCCATATTATCAATCAACATTTTACAAATTTGAAATCGAGAATGCAAGTGTGAAACATGACATTGATTTTACAAACAAATTTGTGAGGGTTGGTAAATTATGGTGAAGGCTGGTAATAATTACTGTTACCAGCCCTCTGGGCTGGTGCCAAAAAATCTGAATTTCGTGCTCTGCACCTCCGTACCCAGTATAAACTTGCATGCTGCGTACGGCGACTTGGATGCCTTGAACTCCATGAGAACTGTCTCGGCCGCCCGTCGCTGCTCTGTAGAGACGAGGTTCGGTGGAGCCTATAGCAAGAGAAACGGAAATGATAGAGATTCGAAGCCTACAGTTTCACTCATAGGGTCTATATGTCCCCCAGGGTACTGCCGGAACGTACCCTGGGTATACCGGAACGTACCCTGGG